TGATTTGTGACCTTCAAATAATTAAATTAACTTTAAAACAAAGTATAGAGGTACAAATGAAAGACACGTGTCCAAATCAAAGACCCGTGCGCCCAATTGTGTGGACATGAATCTTACAAAGAGGACAATCATCTCAGAATGCGGAAGCTTGAAGTACAAAACAGACAAGCATGTCTTGTTATCCAATCTGTGTGCTTTTGTGTCCACATGGCACATAAACCACGTCAACAAATCCAAAAAAAATGAAAATTTCTAGATATGCATGTCAACATGAACTACCATGTTTATATGCATGCACCACCCATGTCTAGTGCATTTGCATGTCCGATTCTCCTTAATAAGTGTGCTACACATGTCCTTGTAACATAAATGATATACTATTGAAGCAATTACACTATTGCATCCAAAAGCACACCAGTAGCCACAAGGTTATCTGCTGAGAGAGGTGCTAGGGGGGTCTGATGCACAATGAATCTTAAAGAAATTATTCCAAGTAAATAGATTACTTGGGTCTAATAAGTCCTTTGCCTCAACGCGATTTCCTTTTGAATGATTCCAATGCATAGTTATACAAAATAACTTCATCAACAAATATCTTATGCTAGATATTATTATCAAGAACTAACCTCTCAAGATATTTTCATTAAACCGCTCCATAACTGCAACCCTCCTCTCAATATCCAGGTGAGTATAAGAAAACAATGGGTTCAAATAGTACCCAACTGCATGCAATAGTCGAGCATATCCCATTTTCTTCCTATAATCTCCCATATTGCATCATAGTTGCTCTCATCATTGCCCAAAGACTCAAATATCTCTTTCTTGGTTCCACGTACGCGTCATATATAGAGGCCACAGTGGGCCTCACCTCGCTATCAGACTTCGCAACACTTTGACTATGGTTGAAATATTTTTGTATACTTTGCTTTAAGAACTAGGTGGTAGAATTTAAAAAATGCGAAAATAAACTTATTTAGAGATAAATTAATTGAAGAAGGAAAATGGAACTCTGAACATGAGGCCAACGCAATATAGAATGAGATGGCTGACTGTATCAACAAAGTGGCAAGATAACTTTTAGGAGAATCTAGAAGAAAAAGAAACTCTAATAAGGAAACTTAGTGGTGGAGTCATGAGGTTCAGAAGCCCATTAGCAAAAAACGATCATGTTATAAAACCTGGCAGTGTAATAGAAACGATCAAACTTAGTAGAATATAAAAATGCTAAAAAAAAAGTTAAACACATAATAAGTAAAGCTAAACTTAAGGCATATGATAATCTATTTAATAACTGGGAATAAGAGAAGGTGAAAAAGATGTCTTCAAATTAGAAAAAATAAGCGAGAAAAAGTGTAGGGTTCTTAACCATATTACATGCATTAAGAGTGAGGATCAAAGGGCCTTGGTGTAGGATGATGAGGTAAACGAAAGGTGGAGAGTTTATTTTCAAAAATTATTAAATAATGAACACAATAGGACCATAGCGGTAGAAAGAACTATTGATACAAATGAGGCCAGAGGTCACAGATACATTTGTAGGATTAGGATATCGAAAGTGAAAGAAGCTTTGAAAAAGATGACGATGGGAAAGGCTTTAGGACCATATGGTATCCCGATAAGAGTTCGGAAGTGCATTAGGGAGGTTGGCATTGCTTGGCTGACGAAGTTGTTCAACAAGGTGTTGAGAACAAAGAAAATACCTGATGAATGGAGGAAAAGTATTGTGGTACCTATTTACAAGAACAAATGAGACATACATAATTGTGCAAACTATTGAGGGATCAAGCTTATGAGTCATACTATAAAGCCCTGGGAGAGAGTGATTGAGCAACGAATAAGGCATGAAATGATTGTATGAAAATCAATTTGGTTTTATGCCAAAAAGATCAACAACCGATATTATTTTCCTAATTAGGCAACAGATTGAGAAATTTAGGCCGAAAGGAAAACACCTTTACATGGTCTTTATTGATCTAGAGAAAGCTTATGATAGAGTACCTTGAGATTTGATTTGGCGGATATTGGAAAAGAAAGGAGTCTCCAGATACTACATCGACTTGGTGAGAGATATGTACGATGGAGTGCTAACTAGTGTAC